GACGATCAAAATACTATCTTGAATAAAATTATTCAAATAAAATCTATTTAATAAAATAATAAAAAATAAACAAAAAAATGACACAAATGGGGCATAATAATAGTTGAAAGAAACTTAATTATGATCAGATATATAATTCATTGATTTAGTGTAAAATAAATTTAACTTATTTTGAGCAAAAGTAAGATTAATACTAGGCTAATTTAATGTACCATGGACTATTTTTTTCCATTAAAAAGTTGACAGTGCCGAAAATTTAAGACCGGGCTGGAACCTACCCCAGCCTTTAGGGTGGCTCCGCCCCTGGGCACGACCAATTGTATATAGATATTTCTTGTGTCACTAATCAATAAAACTTGATATTGTCAGTGTGTGCGAGGAGGATGGTGTGTCTACAAAGAAAAAAATGTTGTATACAATGAGGTTTTTAATAATATATAATCAATTGTTTATTTTTATTTATTGAATTTTTTATATTCGCAAATATAATATTGTCCTTTTCTTTTTAAATGTCATTTTAGTTTTGTCAACCATTAACCAAATAAATGACGTTTTTTTTATCTTTTGTACATATTTTTTTATTATTACACTCATTTAACTAATAAATACACCACATATTTTCTTATTCACTCTTCATCTTTTTTCTAAAATATCCATCTCTATTTTTATTAAAGAGGTTTTATTATTGGAAAAACAAAATTCTTAATTTATGTGCATCGTAATAATTAAAACGACATGTATTATGAACATGAGAGAATAATAAACTTGCGTAAGTAGCCTTAAAATTGTCAACCTCGTGCATCGCTCTGCACTAATTCAGTATTAAGAGCGCAAAAATAGTTATTTCCTCTAAAACCCGTCAATAAGTTAAGGGAGATTATACGGTCCCGTTCCAGAACCATTCCGCTGGGGTTTTACCGTTATATCAATAATCGACGAAGATTACATAATGATCTAACGGATTACGAATCCCGACGAAATGGTTCCGTGAGGGGTTACTTCGCTAAGTTAATAAGATAATGAATATGCTCTAACTTGAATCACCCTTAGAATCAAAGTGATTATGGATAGAACTCTTGAGGGAGAGATT